CCCTCTTTTTTTTTTTTTTTTTTTTTTTTTTTTTTTTTTTTTTTTGGCTTGGGCTCCAAAATCCATCCTATTTATTCCTATTTACACCGATGGTTTGGCGTGAGACTGATGCCCCCTTCTCCCTTCCACCCACGGCTTGTAGGCTCACACTGCTGCAGGGTCTGTGGGTGGCAGAACCTTCCCAACCCGCCTGGGGACCTCTGAAAGTTTTTGGGTTGGTTTTTATTTCATCTGTGAAGGCTCCAGCAGTGAACCCCCGGGTGAGTCAGCGCGAGGCGAAGGCAAAGCTATTGCACAGAGCTTCCACGGGCCCTGTCTGGCTCCTGCTGCCCAGGAAGGGTGGCCTTGTCTTTGGTGAGAGTTGTGCCCATGACCCAGCGCTACCTCCTGGTGGCCCCATGGCCACTCAGTGTCCAGTGCGCTCCAGGCCGGGTGGCCACGGGCGAGAACCCAGCGAGAGCGCCTCGATTCTCGCGCTTCCACTTCCAACACGGTGTGAGGGCGGCTCTGAAAAGCGCCCTTGGGACTGGTCCAGAGGTCACCCAGCGGGGTGAGAGACCCTCCCACCTCGTTCCATCCCCACGAGGCGCTTGGGCACTGGGTGGTGCCAACCCAAGAGCTCCAGCCCCCTCCCCGGCTGCCCCGCTGTGCATGGATGGCATCGCTTCCTCTTCCCCCTCCGTTCCTAAAAAAATGCGGGTGCTGTTTGTGACTTTTAGCAGTGGAGGATCTTCATGAAAGCCTTGCGAAACTCGATGTTGAAGGTGGTGTAGATAATCGGGTTGACAGCGCTGTTGACATAGCCCAGCCACGTGAAGGCACTGTACATGGCCGGCGGGATGTTGCAGTCGCAGTGCATGTTCAGGATGTGAGTGATGAAGAAGGGGAGCCAGCAGATGATGAAAACACCTGGGGGGGAAAAAGGAGAGAGGAGGATTTTGATTGCTGAAAGCTGGGCGGATTCTCAGGCTGGGAGAGCAGTGAGGTTCTCTTTGGTAGAAGGGGAATATATTTGCCAGAGGAATGAGCTTTGTGTTTGTGTGCTCAGTGTCCTGCTCTGCCTGGGCCCAGACACTGCAGAAACTCTGCCCTGCAGAGGTGCCAGCTCTGCTCAGCCCTGCTCCCTTTTGTTCCAGAAAGCCCAGGAGCTCTTTCCCCGTTTTGGGAGCTCAGGTGCCCCTGAGAGGGGCAGCTTTGGGCACCTTTGGTGCAGCCCTGCCAGCTGTGGGTGGATGGGGATGGAGGGACCCCTCCCACCGCCTGTTCTCTCACGTGTGAAGGGAAATGGATCCTGAGGGGCCTTGGAACACCAGCCTGCACTGAACTCAGGGACTGGGATTTCTGCAGGGCCCCTGGGGCAGCCAGGGCACGCTCTCACCGAGCACGATGGCCAGCATCTGGGTGGCTTTCTTCTCCTTCTGCTGGGACATTTTCCTCCTGATCACGGCCTTGAGCAAGTTCCTCGTCTTGCCGTTGGGCAGGGAGTGGATCTCGAAGACCCTGGCTGTGTGGTGGGATTCTTTGGCATGGCCATTCTTCTCCACCTTCCCGGGGCTGCTCAGGGGTGCCTGCAGGGTAGAGTTGTTGCCCCGATTAGAAGCAACTGGCACAATCAACTGGTGGTTACTTGGTGCTGTGGGTTTGAGGGCCGTTTTCTCAGGGGGACTGGTACTGGACACCATCTCCATTTCCATCTCTTCTATGTGACTTTCTGCCTCCTGGACAAGAATCAAATGTCCACAACATAATGACAGGTAAATACACAGAGAGGAGCAACGAACATTCCTTACAGAGTGAAGCTGGATGATGTTGGAGAACAGTCAATCCCTCTTCTCCCTCCCTGCGTGCTGCCTGGAGAAAGGGATGTGGTGCTTTTGGGTATTTTGGGCAGATGGGATTGACAGAGCTGCACTGGAGGATTCTCCTTTTTGGCACAAAGAGGCTCAGAAATGGGGGAGACGCTGTCTCCACTCTCCACAGACTTTATTCAGGTTTTCAGAAGGTGAATAAATAAAAATGGATCAACAACCAAAACCCAACAAAGCCAATGCAGTCCGAGATTTAAATAACAGAGAGGAAGAGGAAATCAAAGATGTTGAACAAAAATGTTCAAATGCCGTGGCTTTTAGAGCTGATCTTTAGGTGAGCTTAATCTGGCTTTTTTTGAGCTCTATGAGCTTAAACCCCCTGCTTCACTCCAAGGAATGGGAAGACTATTTAAATTTTGAGATTGAATGGTAACCTTTGCTCTTAGGTTTATTTTTCTCCCACCCTACATAAATTAACCTCGTGTCCTGAGGGAGAAGGGGAAGGCTGAAGGCTCTGGAAAGCTCCCACTTCTCTTTAACACTCACCACTTTGCGCTTATTAACTTGGAAGCTCCCATTGGACTTCACAATAACTGTGCAGAGCTTGACGTCTTCTGGATGAGTGCATTTGTCCTAAGGGGCAAGCACCAGCTCAGAGGTTACACAGGCAGAGAGAGGTTGGGAAGGGAAGCTGGTAAGGGAGGCACGTGGGAATACAAAGGAATTAATCAGGAATTGGTCAGCACGGCTGAGGTGCCGAGCAGGATGGAAAACTGGATGGAAAACTGATGTGGAGGAGCAGTGGTGGGGGCTCCCCCTGTGCTGTCCACCAGAGGAAGGAGGCCACGAAGCTCTGCTGCTGTCTGTGTGTCCCTGTCTCGCTGCCCCCTTTGCAGGCAGTTTGGAGCTGGAGCCTCTGGGACTGCACATCCCCCTGGCTGTGCTGCGTGCTCTGCCAGAGCCGGGTTTAGAGCAGCGGTTTCACACCCAGCCCGCCCGGCTGGGCTCCCTCACACGCAGGAGAGGCTGATCCCTGCAGAGCTGTCCTTCCCAGGGAGGAGCTGTGCACCCCAGGCATTGCCACCGAGCTTTGGGGACGCCTCACAGCACCTGCAGGGGGGTTGCAGGAGAGCTGGAGAGGGGCTTGCGGTGGTGGGAATGGCTTTAAGCTGAAGGAGGGTGGGTTTAGGTCGGATATTGGGGAGAAATTCTTCCCTGTGAGGGTGGGGAGGCCCTGGCAGCGGTTACCCAGAGCAGCTGTGGCTGCCCCATCCCTGGAAGCGTCCAAGGTCAGGTTGGATGGGGCTCGGAGCCACGTGGGACAGTGGAAGCTGTCCCTGCTCGGGGGCTTTAATGTCCCTTCTGCCCCAAACCGTTCCTTGGTTCTGTGGTTCTGCAGGACTGACTCAGACTGTGCCGCAGCCTCTGGGTGGCCCAGCCCAGCCCAGGGCAGTGCTCTGGGCTCACGCAGCAGCTCCTGCTGCACATCTGCTGCTGGAACAGCCCCTGAGATTCAGGGAGGCCTGAGGAGCACCAGCCGGCGAGCTGGCAACCCAGGACCCCAAAGTGACCCCAGCACCCAGCCGTGGGTGCTCTGGGGCAGGAGGAGCAGGGCAGGGGGAGGATGGAGAACCCTGTACCTTCAGGGGTGCCTGCGTGTCCGAGTCCAGCACGTGGCTGCTGCGCTTGGTGCTGACACGCTTCCTGCGCCGCCGCAGCACGATGTAGATCTGCACGTACACCAGCAGCGTGACGATGAAGGGCACGTAGAAGGACACGATGGAGGAGTACACCACGAAGGCAGGGTTGCCAATGATGCACTCCTTCTCATCTGGAAGAGAAAACCTTTCAGGATTGTTGTCCCCCACGCCCTGTCCCCGCACGCTCCCCTCGGGCTGTAGCATCACCCCAAAATTCCTGGCTACTCCTTGCCTTGAGGCTAAGGACTGCAGATCCCCTGCTGTACCCACCCCAGTGTTCCCAGGAAACTGCTGCCTGAACTGCCAGTCCTTTTCTCTCCTGCCTCAGGGAAGGTTTTGTCCCGCAGCTTTCCCTTTTGTGTGTTTTAATAGAAGAAGGATTTGGAATTTGTAGTGGACAAATGTTAAGGTAGCACAGATTGGTGCTGTGTGAACTTCTCCATCAGCTCAGTTCTGGTGAGTGTGAAACCCTGCTCTGGAGCAGCTGGAGATGAAACAGACCCAGAATCACGGTGCAAATAGGGAGACAAGAGTTCAAACACACCTCAGAGCTGATCCCACCTTCATTCCTGGCTATCTGGGGAGCCAGCCAGGAGCCAGCTGCGGGTGGCAGAGCCCTCACCTGTGTTGTTGAGGCCGAAGAGGAGCGGGCAGGAGATGGCAAAGGAGAGCACCCAGACCACGGCGATCATGACGGTGACCCTGCGCTTGGAGCTGTAGCGGGTGTTGTAGAGCATGGGCATGGCCACAGCCGTGTACCTGCGGGGACACACAGCCTGCTGTCACCCCCAGGGCCACCACAGCTCCCAGCTCGGCACATTCCATGTGCCCTCTGATAGCCACTGCATAGATATATCTCTATAATCTATATATTGCATAACAAGATCTAATTATCGTATAAATACAGTATTATATTACTGACTATTTAATTATTTTTTTATATTTTATATTTTTTTAGTATTAAAATGTATGTTGGATGTATAATGCTAGAAAGCTTTGCTGTATTAATATAGTTACTTTTATTTATGTTATTGATATAACTTAGAAATAGTGGTGCAATACATATATACATATATATTTTAAGCTGTAGCATGGTATTAAAATAAAGACTGCTTTTGTTCATATAACCCAAAGACTGAAAAGATAGCCAGAAACACCCCCTGCATTCCTAAATTATCCAGATGAAGACAGCAGTGACCAGAGCTCCAAGGGAGGGATTTATTGAACCTCTGTTATCAGGGAGTGTGAGACTGAACAGAGCCAAGATTGATCTGTTGGGGAGGGGGGAGTTGAAGTTAGACAAAGGAACATCTAAAACTTAAGAGGAATGTTTGAATCATGCATAAGCATTTATGAATATGTAATAGATTTGTGTTTTTAAGGGACAATCCTTTGTTAGTAAGGCGTGCTCTTGGTTGAATTTGTTAATTTTGCTTTATTTCTGTCTCCTGATTGTCTTTCTATAAAACTTTTAAAATCTTATATAAAAAAACGTGAACCTCGTTTTTCACAAGCCCCGAGGTGGCTGCAGCCACAGCAGGAGGGGTGAGGCTGGGCTCAGCATGGCCTTCTCCTTCCAGCCCTTCCCACTGCCGCCTGCTGCACCATCCCAGAACACGAAGAGCAGGAGCAGGCTCGTGGGAACACAGAGACAGTTCCATCTGCATTCCCAGGAGCGGTGTTTCTGTGCCTCCTGACAGAATTCCCTGCTCACAGCTCATCCAGGTCCTTTAAGCTGCTCTTCAAAGAGCTCCCACAGTTTTCAAGCCTCTGAGTCCCAGGGAAATGTGAGCAGACCTGGGCTTGGCCCCGAGCCCTCACCTGTCGATGCTGATGGCACAGAGGTTGAGGATGCTGGCAGTGCACATCATGACGTCCAGGGTGACAAAGATATCGCAGTGGATGCGACTGAACCGCCACTCCCCAACCACCTGCAAAGAGAGAACGGGGTGCTGAGCAATTCCCTGGGGTGCTGAGCAATTCCTTGAGGTGCTGAGCAATTCCTTGAGGTGCTGAGCAATTCCTTGGGGTGCTGAGCAATTCCTTGAGGTGCTGAGCAATCCCCTGGGTGCTGAGCAATTCCTTGGGGTGCTGAGCAATTCCTTGAGGTGCTGAGCAATCCCCTGGGTGCTGAGCAATTCCTTGGGGTGCTGAGCAATTCCTTGAGGTGCTGAGCAATCCCCTGGGGTGCTGAGCAATTCCTCGGGCTCACATCCCATGACATCAGGGAGCACAGGGCTCCTGCAACCCAGAGGGGAAAGTAAAGGAGTTTAAACAGCTCTCTGGAGCATTACAAGGCAGAATGAGGAAGGAAATAGATTAATTTTAATTCTCAAACACCTCAAATTGTACTTACAGCTTTTTTTTTCCCAGACAATTTTTCTAATTACACCCAGCAAAGGTCAGCAGCAGACAAGCAGGAGCTTCCCTCTATTCCTCAGTTTAAAAAATCGGGGTAGGCATTCCTCCCCCTTATCTTTTTATTTTTTTTTTTTTTTGTGAACAAAACGAGTTTAATTCAGAGTGAAAAGCCTTTAACACTCCACACGATGTGCTAAAGACAAAGAACTAATGATAACACTTCCAGGCACCAGTAGCCTTTTTTCTCCTCACTTCTCTTGCTGTTGAAGCTGAACTTTGCCAATTAAGTTTAATAGCAATTATTCGGACTGCTGTGTTTGACATGTGATGAAAAAAAAAGTATATTTCCCTCTAACAAAAATAGAGCCCTACTGCATTTGAAAATAGAATGAATAAGATATCTATTCTTCAGTTATTTCTGCTCTGATATACATAACCATAGGCAGCATAAAGAAGGAAGAATGACTGCATTGAAGCCTGAGTGACAGATGAATACTCAGTGATTAAAAAAGCACTTAAGAGACAGTTACATCAGGAACTTTGAGGAAAATTTGCCCAAAGGCAAAGGTTTCCAGCCAGATCCAAACCTCTGTAAAACCAATTTCCTGAGGGCATGCTTAGGGAGAAACCTGGAACCGCAGCAGTTCTTGGTGCTTTCATTTATGTTGGAGAAATCTCAAAAATTTGGGGTAAAAGATCTGTTTGCACCAAGGCTGGGGGTGTTTTTTTAAGTGCTTCATTTTGATTTTGAGTTTTAGGCCAAGCATGTGACACAAAACCTGGAGAAAATCATCCCAGCAGCCAGATCAAGGCAGCCGTGGCTCCTCACCAACCCCTGAGCGTGAGCCCAGAAAAGGGAGAGAATTTTGCATCATTTGCGGTTTATTCTTCTGCCTCAACATTAAAAAGGGTCTGAGGGATTCTTCCGGCTGGATCTGAGGGAGCAGGAGCTTCTCCCAGCATCAGCCTCTGCCTCAAATAGGTGGTGGGAAGGAAGAGAAGAGAAGAGAAGAGAAGAGTAGTGAAGAGACGAGAAGAGAAGAGAAGAGAAGAGAAGAGTAGTGAAGAGACGAGAAGAGAAGAGAAGAGAAGAGAAGAGTAGTGAAGAGACGAGAAGAGAAGAGAAGAGAAGAGAAGAGTAGTGAAGAGACGAGAAGAGAAGAGAAGAGAAGAGAAGAGTAGTGAAGAGACGAGAAGAGAAGAGAAGAGAAGAGAAGAGGAGAGAAGAGACGACACGAAGGTGCCAGAGGCGCTGCGCTCCCCCCAGCCTGTGGCCGTGTTAATGAGCCTTAGCAGAGGCGTGGGGCTGAACCTTCTCCAGCGCCATGAAAACAATCATTAACTCGAGTGATAATTAGCATTGTGTCACGTCAGTGCATTTGGTTTGCTTGGCATCAGGATTTAATGGGCTCACTGATGATGGCTCCTTCCCCTGCTCTCCTCTCTCTGTTGTCATTCCCTCCCTTAAGTCAGGGCCTGGAAATGAACTGGAAATTCAGGATGGTTTTGTGCTCAGGGCTGAGGTGTGAAAAATGATCTTCACCCCTATATTGTGACATAAAAGCTGTGGATTCCACATCCTGCTTCAGAAACAAAGCCTTGATTGCTATTTTTTTTCTTTGATTGCTGGGTTTAATGATCCTTGTGGGTCCCTTCCGCTCCACAAATTGGATGTGGTTTCAGTGTGATACCCATGGTGGAGTTTTTGAACACAAAATTGGGGTCCTTTCCCTCTTGACCCCGAATTTCTGGTGCAATTGGGCTGCCATTTGGTCCTCTGAGCAGCAGTGGGGTTTCAAGCTACCTGCTCTCACATCCATCTCCTGGAGAAAAATGGCAATTTCGGGAATGAAAAAGCTACAATTTCAGGAAGGGAAAAAAAAGAAAAAATGCAATTTCAGGAATGAAAAAAACCTGCACTTCAGGGAAGACAAAACCCCCTGCATTTAGGGCATGAGAAACACTTCAGGGGGAATTGAGGAGGCCTTGCAGGAGCTGATTTCCAGGGGAGCTGTGAGCCCTTACCTCCAGGTAAACCACCCAGGGCATGCAGAGCGTGGCCACCAGCAGGTCAGCCACGGCCAGGCTGACGATCAGGTAGTTGGTGGTGGTCTGCAGGGCTCTCTCCCTGGACACTGCCATGCACACCAGGACGTTGCCAAAGACGATGATGAAGATGAGGATGGCGAGCAGCACGGCGTAGTAGTTGTAGTGCGGCTTCTGCGCCGCGTCCGACGCGTTCAGGGCCCTGCTCCAGTTCCTGTCCCCGTCGTACCACGAGAGGTTGAGGGGATCCATGGGGGTCCCAGTGCCAGCTGCCAGCTCCACCCTGGCACGGGGGTGTTGGAGAGGCCCGTGGGAAATAAAAATGGAAAATGAAGTCAGGTTTCTGCTGCCTGGAGCCTGTTCCCCCTGCCCTGGGTGAAATGTTTGGCTGGAAATGGGATGCAGAACTGAGCCAGGTGGGGGTTCCAGGAGTTGGTTTTTATTTCCAGCTCACCCCCAGATTCCTGTGTAGTTACTCTGTGTTACAGGTGGGTCAGGCAGAGTGCCTGGGATGTTCTGTCCCCTGACTTTCCCAGCTCCCTGTTAGGTGTGCACAGCTCAGGGCACAAGGGCCATCACCCACTTTGTTTATTTGCCATGTGCTTCATGGGGCTTTGGGCTCTATTCCTTTTCTTTTTTTCTTTTTGTCTTTCCTTTATTTTTATTTTTTTTTCCTCCAGCAGCAGAATAAATAAATTTTAAAGCCCAAGACCTGAAGAGTGACAATGATGGAACTTGACAGCAGCAGCTTTGCAGTCAGGGCTGGGCTGTGCTGCCTCTGCCATTGCCCCAGCGAGGTGACAGTGAAGGGGGACACGGTGGGGACATCACTGCTGTCACCCCAGCCCTCAGCAGCTCCTGCCACTGGGAACATGCTTTTCCTGGTTTTCCTTGGAAAATCGTGTCACCCCCACCATTCCCTGGCCGTTGGCCACGTGCTGTGCACTCCTGAAGAGGTAAAATATGAAAAATGATGGGATTTCTGTGGAGTTCCCTCAAACCTATGGAAGCTTTGGTGTTTGTTTAACCCACTGTGAGTGCCTTTTGGACTTTTTCTGTCTCTCTGTGCTGTCACAACATCCTAAAGGAATTTGGCTGCTGGGACAGAGGTTTGTATGTCATCAGCTTGAAATTCAGAGGACAAAATCTCCTCTGTGCCGAGGGAGGTGAACAGCCAAAGCCAGAGGAGGATGTGGAGCGTGGAGGGGAGCTCTGGGTGCTGCTGTTTTGGGGTCTCTCTCTGGTTCAGGGTGTGAAAAGCAAACCCTGTGTTTGCAGTGAGTCCTGCAGGATGTTTGGCCACCAGGGATGTTTTTCCTGACTGTGTGGGGAGGAAAACTCAGCTCCTGCTCTGGCTGCAGGGCTGTAACCATGGACAGCCCCACACCACACCTGAGTCATGCCTAGAGAAGGGATTTCCACCCAGCAGAAGCAATCTGAGAATCCCCTCAGTTTATAAATCATCCCTCACCTCTCCACAGTGGTGCAGGTTGGGCTGGAAATGCCAACACCCGACTGGGAGCTCCTCAGCCTTGCATAAAAGGCCTCGAGCTGTGCCAGGGGAGGTTTATGTTGGTTATTAGGGGAAAACAAACCCATGGAAAGGGTTGGGAAGGGTTGGAACAGGCTGCCCAGGGCAGTGGTGGTGTCACCATCCCTGCAAGTGCCCAAAAACCTGTGGATGTGGACCTGGGGCTGGGCTTTTCCCACCTAAACAATTCCATGTTTCTGTGGCCTCATTCCCTGCTCAGCACTTCCCAGGATCAAATATTCCATGTTTCCCAAGCTGCATCTCCACAAAAACCACAGTGACTGGAAAACCTGGCCGTGCTCTCAGACACCCCAAACCAGGACCACTTAATTTCCTTAATAAAAGACAAAGTGACTTCGATTTATTAAACCCCGTAAAGTGATCAAAATAGCAAAACATTTGCAAATATCAAATTCACCTGGGAACAATGGTTTCTTTATGTTTCACTGAGCTTTTGTGTGCTTTTCTCATTCAGAGAACAATTTGGATAATAATCCTTGGAAATTTGTTGCATATGGGTCCTTAATAGCTGATAATTCAAAAAGTGTCTGTCTGACAGTGCTATCAGCAGCACTTGATAGCTCTACAAATGTCTTCTTAGGAGCTGTCAAAGTGTCAGAAATTAATTAAATGTTAGCTTCTGTGACTCAGAGTGAAGGGGAAAAAATCAATGCTAAATACAGCAACAGTTTTTTCTCTTCTCCTGTTGCCCTTTCATAATGCAAAACTATCTCGAGGAGGCAGAACCATGCAGAAAATGCAGGGTGGGACACCAAAAAAGAAAAATAAAAAAAGGCAGGGAGATGGAGAAGTGGCTTTGAGGTGTAAAAGGGATGGAAGGGTTTGGGATGGGCAGGATCAGCCCCTTGGGCCTGTGCTGGTTTTTTCTGAGCTCTGACTGCAGGAATAAAATTGGTTTTAAGAAGGAAAGGCCACAGACAGGGAGATGGAATTCCAGCCTTTTCAGGGCTGTTCCAGCTCCCTGGTGGCGTTGGAGGAGCCATTTATAACTCATCTCTTGTGTCCATTCATCAGGAATTTACTCCACGATGGTTAGGGAGGGTGTAAAACTCCCTGGATAAAGTAATCGAAATTTCCTTTCATTTCCTTCTCTATCTTCCCCAAGAGTTGTTTTTTTTTTCCCCTTTAAATGGAACTATTTTCACAGTAATCATTTTTGTCTTTAAAAAGAAAGTTAAAAGTGAATGCTTGAATGTTGTACAAATGAAAAGATTTGGTGTTTCTATTTAAACAAAAAGAATATTTAATTTGGGAAAATGAAACAGAAGAAAAATTCCATATATTTTAGATGAAACAGGGAAACTTAAACACCAAAACCCAGAAATTAAAACTGTGTGATCACCCAATTAAAGGCTGTATCCAGGACACATCCTACAATTACACGGACAACTCTGTTGGTTCCCAACTTTGCAAAGTTTGAGTTTTCAATCCTAAAAACAACCTTCTTTTCTCCAGCCCCAGAGCTGGCATCATTTGGAAGCATTTTTGGTGGCCATTAAGGTGTTTTGTGAGTCTCTCAGCCCTGCTTTGAGGAGCAATTTTGATTTTAGTGCTGACAGTTCCTCAGCAGAGAAGAAAGAAGCACTTAAAGAGGCAGCTGGAAAAGGGAGGGCTTTTCTCTAGGCTTTTCCCAGAGAGCTGCATTTTCCTGGGGAAAAGGGAGAGGGAAGGGATCAAAAGCACAGGGAAAAGGCACAAAGAGCACCTGGCTCTGGCCTTGGGAAAATTCCTGTACAGAGGGGAAAGTCTGAGGGAGAAAGAGTCCAAAAAGGAGCAAATTCCCTTGTGAATTAAGGGCAGCAAAGCCACCCTAATTCCCACCCAGAGTCCCCACAGATTCCCAGGGTGGCTGAGCTAATCCAGATCTGGATTTGCCGCAGGGTCAAGGGCAGGACAGGGCTGCAAGGTTGCAGCCTGGAGTTTGATGGCAGCAGTGCAGCAGCATCATCCTGCTGCTCATCCCCCTCTCATCCCCCTCAAAACCTGGCTGGAAGCAATTTTCCAGCAGCTGCAGGGTGTTACATATAAGGAATACCTTACCCCCCTAAAAAAGCCTTATAAAATAGAGTTTAAACCCTGCTGCTCTAGCTAAGCTAGCAGCAAGCTTGTATGTTCTCCTGTAAAAGAATCATGAAAATAAAAATCAGTTAACACAACAATCTGTTCTAGAAAGAAAACCATTCACACCTGGGAAAGCAAAGTCTCTCCCGTAAGAATCCCCCCCAAAAAATGTAAACACCAAAGTAAAGTCTTAACACACACAAACATTTTCTAACCAATGAATTAAGTAGCAAAAAAACTATTGGCCAATTGGATTTAACACAACACCTTCTGAAATTCCTATAAAAATATAAGCTATACAATAAAGATTCAGCTTTTCTGCTTAAAAAAATCGGGAGTGCCATCTGTTTATATCACAACAGGAGGGAATCTGCTGTGTGGCTGCTGGAATTCCCAGGGAGAAGGCAGCCAGGACAGAGTTTGGAGGGCAGGGCCAGAGCTTTGCCCTCCTCTGCTGTCAGTCCTTGCTCTTTTCCAGAGAACAACCTGGAAAATGTTTGTTTGCCGTGCCGGGATTTCTCCTGCTCCTCGTGATGGATCTTGTAATTACCACTGTGGCAAACAAGAGATCTCCCTGGCAAGTGTGGGATGTTCACAACCCAACCAAACCCTCTGGCAGGATCTGAAACCTTTTTCCTCTCAGAAACAGCAAAGGTGTGACTCTCCTTTTGGTTTTTCCTCTGTTTGCAAACACTCCCAGGGATAAAACCCTGGTGGGGCTGATCCTGAGGAGTGTCAGCACCCGCCTGCTACGGATTTGGGGCCAAAACTTCAGCCAGCCTTTGCTTCTGCATGGAACCCCCGTCATTTCAGATGAAATCTGGAGTTCAGGGTGAGCTTTCAGGGCCCAAGCTTTCCTCTGGACTCCAGACACGATTTTGCACCCAAAATTGTGCACCCAAAGGGAAACAGCAGCCAAAGTCACCGGTGGCAGCATCCCCGAGGGAGATGTCCCAGAGCAGCCTCAGAACAGCCTCTCCCTGCTGGCCCCGAGGGATTTTGCCTGCAGATGTTGCCAGATTGATATTTCCTGCTAATTGCTGCTGCCCAGAGGTTCCCATCAGCATCTGAGGCTGCTCAGACAGGTCCTCTCCAAAGGCTTTGCAATCAATGTCTCAGTGGAATTTGCACAGAACACCGCCTCCCCGAACATTGTCACTCTCCTCTGGAGTTTTGCAATCAATGGGCCATAGGAAGCTGTCAAACTGACATCCTTTCTGTCCTCAAGATGTTTGCTGGGCTCCGCTGAGAATGCCACAAAGACATTCCACTCGAAGGAAATAACACCATGTCTTTGGAGTAGAGGGGAGGTGGAAGAGAAAGGGAAGGGGAGAAATGTGTTTGAGGAGCTGCTCTGTTTCCCTGCTCAGGGTGGAGATAAAGCATCTTCTGGAGTAGTTTCACTATTTTTGTTTGTTTTTTGCCTTGCACACAAGCCCAGAATTGCTGTGGATTCCTGGTGGTGGTTCCCTGGAGAGCAAGGAAGGTGTGGAACTGCAGGCACTGAGGAGAAAAGGCCAGGAATGAGGAAAATTCTGTAAATCCTGCCTTGACCTGAGAGCGCTGCTGATGCTGCTGAAAAGCCCCATCCCCTGCCCTGGGCTCCTGCAGGAGCAGCTGGCACAGAAATCACCCAGCACGGTCCTGGTGGCTTTAAATAA